TCAACTTTAATAATTAAAGTCATAAACTTTTTCATAAAAACAGTTTATTGATTTACAATTTCCCCTTTAAAATTCGAACATGACATAAGTTTTGGTCTCCTAACAACGTAGGTGTCATGACCCAAACCCGCCCTTATAGGTTTAGCGTCATAATCGGTCAGTAATCCTTGGATTACCAAAGGCTTTTGTACAGAATAACATATAATTAAGGGGCTAGCGAAAGCAACTTATAGAAAATAATGTTCATAGAGCTGTATAGACATACATGAGATAGAAAATTTAAAGCTTTATATACATATAAGTGACGTCAAATAAACAACAATCTTACGTCACTTGATATACAGACAAAACATAATAGGACTTAGCCCAATAGTCAGATACAAAGGAAAACAGAAAGACAGTGAAAAAAAACAAAAATTGTCAGCATAGAATTTGACCCCACTTAAGCTTTTCAAGAACCTCTCGGTAAGGCACAGTGGTTTGGCGGACTCAGACAGATCCAGGCAATCATCTCTTAGCCTGGTCACATGCCTGATCACCTACATACAAAAATAATAGAATGAATTGGAGCCTAATGAATAATAACAGAGTAAAGAGTTTAATGAATGTTGTCCATAACAGATACAGAAAACAGAATTCAGTTTATATCATAAGTGGATTCATATACTTGTTTAGAGATCAGTATTCATAACAGAAATTGAATCAGAATCATATTCATCGTACATGGTACATCCATTAGTACTAACAGAAATAGTTGACCCATAAAGGGACGGCGATGAAGGCATACAGTTGACTCACGTGCACGGACACAATACAATTGGCTCATGAGATGTACAGTTGGCCCAAAAATGGGACATATACAGAAGGCTCCATAACAGTTGGCTCATAAGACACACAGTTGGCCCATAATTGGGATATAACAGAATAGATAACAGATGTCATCTGAAGCTAAGGATGGCACAGATACATTTAAGAAACATTGGACAACCATTCATTCATACAAAAAATAATATTTTAGAAAACAAATCATCTTATATCATTCAGAAAATACTTATAATTGAACATAGCTTTACAAAGCTATTACTCACAGTTGGCTCCAATACCAGACAGACAAAGCAGATAAAGTAGACAAACAGAGCAGATATCCAGATAGCTACGGTGCATGACATACACAAACACATAACAGACACACATTGAAACACACGTTCAAAATTAATTTAATTTATTTCCTTCCTATCTTGGTGTGTTTATAATACTTATCCTCATCATTATGGCTTAATTAAGTCTTAAGAATGCCTAAGATGTAATGAGAATGCCAAAATGTGATTTGAAACACTTAGTCAAATTTTCAAAAACAGGGCAGTCTGCTCGAGAGCAACTTCGGTCGCTCGAGCGGTCTGGAACATCTGCAAAAGTACTGGTTGCATGAATTTTACGCTCAGCAGACGCTCAACAGTCGCTCGAACCAAAGGCTGAGTAAACAGGGTCTCCGCACGAACGCGACTTCGGTCCCTCAAGCGGTCTACAAAACTTCACAAAAGCAATGGGAACATGAATTTTATGCTCGAGTCAACTTTTGTTTGCTCGAGCTGAGGTGCAAAACAAAAGGTGGTCGCGCGAGCGCAGCTTTGGTTGTTTAAGCGGTCATACAGAATTCTGGAATTTTCATATTGCAGTTCTAAGTTCAAAATCCAATTCTATTGCACCAAAACATGTTCTTTTGGGCCAAAACTTGAGAAAACACTCGTAAACTCATATAACTTCATGATTTGAAAACCATTTCGCAAAATCAAGCCCAAAAGCAAGTGAATTCTTCTAAAGTAAAACTTGAAATTTTGAAAACATAACATGTATGTAATGACTTGGATACAAATCTTCCAAAACATGAATAGATAGTGTTTTCAGGTAAAATATGGTGAGCTCTCAAGACATAGCAAAGGTATGCACTTGCATGTAAGAATTTGTGAAAATAGAACTCAAAAATCATGAATTATGCATGCAATGCATGGATTGATCTCAATTCTTTCTTCTAAGCTCAATTCTTGTTTTTAATGTCTAACCTCTCTTGAATTTACATGTCATCTAACTCAATGTCATAAACTTAGAGTTGAATTCTTACCTAGAAACTTTAATTCCCTTGGGTTCTAGCAAATCTTGCTTGTTTTCTCCAATTTCCTTCACTTTTCTAGCGTCTTCCTTAATTGAGCTCATGTCCCCTATTGTTTCTCTCTCTTACGTTTTCTCCTCAAACAGATGATGAACAAGGAGAGTTCTAATGTGTATATAAGCCTTGGTTAGTAGGCTTGGTTAGTGGGCTTAATTAAGCTAGGCTTACTACTAATCAAATGGACATTATTTTATTATAATTATTTGATTATGAATCGAATTTCAGTTGAGCCTACCAAAATTTTCTAAAAGTCCTAAATAACACGTAATCCCAGTCAATTTCGTATTCTGTGGCCGATATGGCCTTCAATTCGCAGAACAGAACAGAAACACAGACAGATATTTTTACGACAGACAGATATGAACACAAATATCATATAACACATGAAATTAACTCGAGATTTCACCATAATTACTCATTATGCATTCTTAACTATTCAGTATTAGTTAATAATGGATCGGAGTTGTTACAGTCTTCCTCTCTTAAAGAGTTTTGTCCTCCAAACTCAAATTACCTTCAGTTTGGAAGAATGTCGGATCTAGAAAGAACAAATCAGGGTATCTTTTCATCATATCTTCCTCAATTTCCCAAGTTGCATATGTTCCTCTGTGGTTTTGGTAGTCAACTTTCACCAATGGAATTTCTTTGTTTCTTAGCATTTTGATCTTTCGATTGGTAACATAAATCAGTTATTCTTCATAAGTAAAATCATCTTTCAATAACACATGTGTTAACTCAATCACGTGTAAAGGATCTCTCAAGTAATCTCGGAGCATTGAAACATGAATGACATTATGCATTTGCTCCATGATCAGAGGTAAGGCCACTTGGTATATTACTAAATTGATTTTCTCTAGAATCTCATATGGACCAATGTATCTCAGAGCCAACTTTCCTTTCACTCCAAATCGAGTTTGCCCTTTCATTGGAGTTACCTTGATGAACACGTGATCACTGACTTCATATTCTCTGTCTCTCCTCCAGACATCCGCATAACTCTTTTGGCGACTTTGGACGATTTTCAAACGTTGTTGAATTAGTTTCACTTTCTCAGTTGTTTCTTGCACAAGTTCTGCTCTTAACAATGGTCTATCGCCTACTTCAGCCCAACAAATTGGAGATTGTCACTTCCTACCATATAAAACTTCACAAAGAGCCATCTCAACACTCAAGTGATAACTATTATTATACACAAACTCGGCCAGAGGCAAATAGTTCTCCCAATTCCCATGGAAATCCAATACACACATTCTTAACATATCTTCTAAAGTTTGAATGGTCCGTTTAGATTGGCTATTCGTTTGTGGGTGACAAGCACTGCTCAATCTCAACTCAGTTCCCAAAGCTTGCTGTAGACTCTGCCAGAATCTTGAAGTGAACTTAGGATCTCTGTCAGATACAATAAACACTAGCACTCCGTGTAATCTCACAATCTCATTCACATAAATGTTAGCCAATTTATCTGCATTATAAAGAGTTTTCACAAGTAAAAAGTGAGAAGACGTAGTTAAACGATCAACAAAGCCCCAAATAGAATCCATACCTCGGGAGGAGCGAGACAATCTAACAATAAAGTCCATTATAATGTGCTCTCATTTCCATTCCGGTATTGGAAGCAGCTGAAGCAATCTGGTGGCTCATTGATGTTCAGTTTTCACTTGTTGGCAATGAAAACATCTCGCATGCAATACACTTTTTCGTTATAGGCCACCAGAAATTTTGTTTCAATTCATTGTACAACTTTGTATTCCCCAGATGCATAGTAAATTTAGAGTTATGAGCTTCGGTCATGACACGCTTTTTCGATTTAGAACAATCCGGTACACAAAGTCTTCTGTAAAATTTCAAGACATTGTCTTCGAACACAAACTCGGGCCTTGGTTTTAAGCCAATCTCATCAACAATCTTCTTCAAAAATTCATCTTGTAATTGGCTTTCTTTAATTTCCTCAACTATGGTCGACTGAGCAAAGATGGCAGCTAGGATTCCACCCTGTTCACACAAAACAACTTCAATTTCATTCCTTTCCGGATCACACAATAATTCTTTATGGCCAGTGAACAAACATGACAAATTCCCAATAGACTTTCGACTCAAAACATCTGCAATTGTATTTACCTTTCCAGGATGGTACAAAATCTGCAAGTCATAGTCTTTTATCAACCCGAGCCATTTTTTTTGCCTCATGTTCAGTTCTTTTTTAGTAAAGAAATATTTTAGGATTTTGTGGTCAGTATACACTTCACATGTTGTCCCATACAAGTAATGGCGCCAAAATTTTAAAGTAAACACTACTACTGCAAGTTCTAGGTCATAGGTTAGATAATTTTTCTCATGTGGGCGAAGCTGTCGAGAAGCATAGGCAATTACCTTTCTATTTTGCATTAGCACGCATCCCAAGCCTTTGTATGAAGCGTCACTGTAAATTTGAAACCCATCAGCACCATTAGGCAAAGTCAGAATTAGTGCAATCACTAATATGGTCTTCAACTCTTGGAAAGCAAATTCTCTTTGGTCATTCCAATCAAATGGCATATTTTTTCTGTGTTAACTGTATCAAAGGCATAGCAAGTTTGGAAAAGTCCTTTACAAATCTGCGGCAGTAACTCGCAAGCCCGAAAAGGCTTCTGACTTCGGACACATTAGTTGGCCTTGGCCAGTCTACATATTAATTCGAGATTTCACCTTAATTACTCATTAGACATTATTAATCATGCAGTATAGTTAATAACAGATCGAGGTTATTACAATTGGACCCAATTAGGCCATAGCTCACAATGTAGTTTTAGTAGTTCATTCCAATACTAAATGAAACATCCAACCAGTGGAACACTATCAAATCTGATTCTCTATTTTATTTATGGATCTTTAAGTTGGGTTACAACATAAACAATTTGAAAAGTATAATCTCAAGAAAAGTCAGCCTATCCAAATTAAAAGAAATTAAGGAACCGAGTTTCTCATCATAAACCATCCTTCTTGCTCATTGACTCAACTTTCCCTTGGCTCTGTTCCGTCAAGACTGAATTTCTTCACTTTCTATAGAGATAAAACAAAAGGAATTAGCAAACCCAAGCAGAGAACAATAGTCTTTTACATACAAATATATGCACAAAACATATGATCAAATAAAAAGATCGAAGTAAAACCTTGAAATCAATATGCATGATGGCAAGGACATCACTTTATAGCACTTAAGGCCAACGAAAAGAATATTGTCTTAGTTGGTTTCCAACCAAATTTGTTCCTTCAATTTAATTCTCACTTTCGTGTTTCCTCATCCTTGTGTTTTCCTTTATCTTTGTCAAAATCTTTGGCTTTTTCTTTATCTTTCCTATCTTCATCTTTACCTTTCTTATTTTTTCCCTTCTATATTCAAAATCTATAAAAGACAAAATAAGAACATCAATAGAAGTCTAGATTTTTTAATATTGAATGGCAATATCAGCTACATAAGATCAACATTCATCCAAATTACTAATCTATGTATGATGTTTGAATTAATGCTAGAACACATGAAGAGTAAAGCTTACAAAAATGCTAGAGAGAGAGAGGGGAGGTATCACCAAAAATGAGAACAATCCATGACGAGATCAAGTAAACCAAAGCCACCCATGATTGGGAGGAGATCAAAAAATCCACTTTAATCATATACCCTATGCTTTCTATCGGATTCCCTACTTGTACAAATGCAAAACAAAATGTGCAGCAGTCTAGGCCAACCCCAAACCAACAAAATCAGTTATCATCAAGATCACTAGCATTCATAACAAAAACAAAAAAGAACTAACCAGTCATTACAAAAAAATGCATATGCTCACATCAAATTCCATGAACTCTAAAAAATTGCACATTCATAAAGAACTTCATCTCTCTATCTCCAAAGCCTCTTGAAAAGAAATGCTACCATAATTGCTAGAAAACAAAAAAAAACAACACACACACATGCTCATCAAATAGAAAAAAAAAAAAAAATTCTTCACCAAAGATTTGCATATTTATCAAGTATTTCATCTGGCCCCTCTGTGCATTAGGAAAAGTTCGACGGTTTGGTCCATCTCTCACATGTACAGTTTCATACACGAATTTCTAAGTTACACCTAGGATCAAAATCAAAGCTAATTTTGCTTCATAGACACAGATTGAGACCCAAAGAAGAGCTTTTTGTTGTTGTCCCTCTTTTATCTCTGCAAATACAAACAAGAAATCAAATAACAAATAGAGGTTGAGAAACCATTATAGTTGTTGATTCAGACCTAATATGCATATTATATCATGCAATCTTCTAATAGACTGAAACCATATCCTACCACTATAATGTTTCAATGATCTTTTTTAACCTTACAAGTATCAAGTCTTACCAAGGTTTACATCATAAACCGGTGTATGTAGCACCATAACTATGAGATATTCACTTTCAATAAGCATTCAATAAGTCAAGTCTCACCAAGTAAAGCTTATTTTTTGTTTTAAGTTTCAAAGTAAATGGTAAAACCAGAGCTAAAGAAATGGTAAAACCATCTGATAGACAAGGGTGATGTCCTAAGTTTATGAGCAATCATCAGAATCATACCTCCACCCCTAAATTGCTTCAAAACAAATTTTAGCTTCAAAGAATTATAGATTTTTGCTTCAAAACAACAACAAATCTCACCTCATATCACTTAAATCAACAACAAATCTAACCCAAAACATACACAACAAAAAACCCCCTTTTTTTTCCTGCTACATTTTCTAATTAAAATCGAGGGGAAAAAAATCCACAACAAACCCTAAATCATCAAACCCATAAAACTCAAGAAATCAAACCACTTATCAAACCCATTTAAGAAATCAACAACAATTCTAATCCAAGAAATCATACATACATACATATATATATATAACAAGAACAAATGAGAATGATGATTAAAGGGACCTCGTCGTCGCTGGAATCTCGCCTTACCGCCATTGTGAAGCTACTGGAATCACTGTTGCCGGCCATCCTCTGCATTTCTTCTTCCCCATCGTGTGGTTTCGCCTTCTACTTCGTCTCTCTATTAGTGTAACATGCCTAGAAGGTACCTGTGCGCGTTAAACAGTTGGAACCCTCGGTCTCTTTTATCTAGTCTCACTAGTGCAATGTGAAACATAGATGAGAGTCCAAATTTGGCAACTTTTATTGAAAATCCATTTTATTACAATTTTGTCAAAAATGGACTGCATCATTCTTGTAATCTATACCAAACGAGTCCGGATCCTCTGTCGTTCTTTCCTACGGCACGTCCTGCAGTGCCCTAAAACGACGTCATTTTGGGGGAAATTTTCAAAAAAAAAAAACGCAGAGAAGAGGGAGGAAGGAGAGGAAGAGGAAGAGGGAGAGGGAGAGGGAGAGAGAGGGTAGGGAGGAGGAGGAGGCTGCGAGCTCGCCGTCCTCGTCCCTCGCCGCCGTCGCAGCCGCCGTCGCTGCCGTCGCAGCAGCTCCACCTTGTCGCAGCCGCCGTCGCTGCCGTCGCTGCCGTCCGTCCTCGTCCCTCGCTGCCGTCCGTCCTCGTCCCTCGCCGCCGTCGCCTCCTCCTCCTCCTCCTCCCCTGTATTTAAGGCCCCCTCCCCCTCCCTCTCCCTCTCCCTCTCCTTCCTCCCTCTCCCTCTTCCTCTTCCTCTCCTTCCTCCCTCTTCTCTGCGTTTTTTTTTTTTGAAAATTTGCCCCCAAAACGACGTCGTTTTGGGGGCGACAGGGGATGGCTACAGGAAATGGCGACCGAAGATCCGGATTCCAACTTCACCACCCCCAATTGCCAAAGGAAGATCCACCAGACCCACGGCGATGCTGATCTCAGAGGTGTCCTCTGGCCTCCTCTTTCCTGCCGCTGGCACCCTCCACACACACTCTCTCTCTCTCTCTCTCTCTCTCTCTCTCGCGATGGTGCTCTCTTCTCTCTTTGCCTTCTTCATATTCGTACGAGTGTTTACACAGTAACATAAGCGAGACGAAAGACAAAGAGGGAATCCATTACACAATAACCCATTTCGTCTAAACCATTGCAAGATCCATCGACAACAGATGCCTCTTGCTTTCTCTTATAACCATAGCACAAAGACCTATCAATGATTTCATAGAAGACCCTTCAATAGGCGATGGAGGTAGAAGAATAGTCGAAGCTGCAACGCTGGTGTATTTAACCCACATTAAAGTAGCTTTCTTGTGATTCCTAGCTTTTCAAGCTCTCTCTCTCTCTCTCTCTCTCTATATATATATATATATATATATATGTATATGTATATGTTAAAGTAAAATAGGTATATGTTGAAGTAAAATGGGTATCTGTAAAGTTTACATGTATTACAACAAATGCTATTAAAAAATTTATTAATGCTCTAAAAACAATGAATGCTATATGTAATCTGAGAATTTTAGTAACTTTAGTAATGCTCTGTAATCTGAGTTAGTTTTTGCAAGTTGATTTTTGAATGTAAGTAATACAATTGGTATTATCTATTAGAATATTGGGGATTTAAATGTAAATGTACAATAAAGTAAGTTTAATCTATGAAGGGTCAAAAAGTATTCACAGTAGCTTGTTTTTGGATATACCTAGTTGAGGAATTGAATTAAAGATGGCTTTGAGTGATTTCAGGTTCTAATTTTTCTAGGTTTTATGATGGTGGCTATATATACATATAACTATTTTTTTTTTTTGCTTTGTTGTTTTTTTTTTTTTTCTTTCTTTTTCTTTGATTTTTGAGGGTTTTAAGAAATAGGGATTGTAAATATTGTAGTTGTTGGTGGTGAGTTTGATTGTTGTTGTTTGGTATGAAGTTGTTAGCTTTGTTTACTATTGATTGAATTTATTGTTAACTATGTTGTTTGGCTGAAGTTGTTAGCTTTGTGAAATACGGAGGATGCAGGAGAGAGAAGTCTAAGAGAGAGAGAGAGAGAGAGAGAGAGAGAATAGGTTGTGTTTTATTTATTTATTTTTGGCTGTGGGCGTGTTTAACAGTGCTCTGTGTGTGTGTGTGTGAGAGAGAGAGAGAGAGTAGATTGGGTTTTATTTCATGTAACTTAGTTCATAGAGTGTTTCAAGACACTTGATTGCATTATGGGCATTTCAATATTTATCTTTGATGGCATTAGCAGCTTTTGTTAGTCATGTGAACGGCAGTAAAAAAATAGGAGAATCTTGATATTGTTAGTTAAAATAAGGAAAGTTTCTGTAATTATTGAAACCATATGAGAGGTCTTTGTATTTGTCAAAAACCTCAGAGGATGTATGTATAATTTATCCAACTATTTATTAATCTATACTAAAACATAAATTTTAGAATGTTGAGGAGGGGCATGTGCCCCTAGGGCCTATGTTGGCTCCACCCTTGTTTGTCCATGGAAACAAACCATGGCTAATTATTAAGAAGGCTAATATCTTGTAAAAGAGTATTATAAATAAAATAATAAGTAGAATACATACACTGCTCAATCAGATAGAACCACCTTTGCCTCCAGTATGAGTTGATGTAAAGAATAGCAGCAAATCCAAACGTGCCGACAAAACTTGTAGGAAAAATCACTAAATCAATATCATATCATTTTCCCTCAGTTTTGTCTGAGGATGTTGTTGTTGGCGAGTATGGAAAATCAATGATGGTTGTGCAATTTTTCTCCAACGGCAGTCCACAAAGAAACGAATTTCCCTTATAACTACTCCCTTTGAAGGTCCCAAATTGTGCTTTCCTGACTAATATTTTACCTGATAAACTATTGTGAGCCACAATGAACACTTCCAAAAAATTTAGATTCATTAGTTCTGTTGGGATTTTTTCGCTAAAATGTTGTAAGAAAGGTCCAAACTCTCTATCTAGGCAAGGTTTGAGAAAGTCTTTGGGATGGGCCCAGTCAAGAGATTGTGAGACAAGTTTAGTACGAGAACACTACTTAGCTTCCCTAGTTCAAAAGGTATTTCACCTGTTAGTTTGTTACATGACAAATCCAATCCAGACATAAAATTAAAGATGTTGCTAACCTTGTAGGAGTAAGTCCTACTTTTAGTAACAAACTCAACTTCATCTGCTATGGCACTGGCAAATAGGGTATTCTTGTGAGGGATATCGAAATTCCTTTCTAGGAAACCTCTCTATTTGTAAAATGTATGCCAATTGAACAAAGGTGCAGTCATTTGCATGAAGCCCTACAAACTAGCCCTTATCATTCCAAAGGTGATATTACCAAAACAACAGGGTATAGACCCATTGAAATAGTTATGGGAAAGGTCCATCAAACTTATTCTATTTAGTTGACAAAATTGAGTTAAAATTGAACCACTTAATTGGTTCTCTCTTAACAAAAGAATTCTAAGGTTGGAATGGAACCAAGAATGCTACCATTGAAGTTGTTTTCTCTTATATCACATGTCAAAAGATTTGACGAATTAAAGAGAGCTCTTGGAATTAATCCTGTGAACTTGTTCCCTTGCAAATGCATAAGCTCTACAAATCCCAAGCTTGGGTTTGAGCAAGAAGAAAGTATTGATACCGAAAATGAGTTATAAGAGACGTCCATATACACACTTGGAACCAGTGCACATGGGAACTAACCTTTAAACGATTTATTTCGCAAGATCAATGTTTCCAATGATGTCATGTTATCAATTGAACTTGTAATCTTACCTGACATGTAGTTGTTGCTAACATCTAGAAAATTCAAGTTGGACAATTTGGAGAGCACATTTGTTAGAGGCCCTGTAAACTGATTATCATTCAGTTGCAAATGCCATATGAGTCAAGTTGAAGACAACTGAAAAGATTTGGCCGTGAAAATTGTTATTTGATAATTTTAAAATTCCTAAATATCTACAATTTCTGAGTGACTGGTTTGGTACCTCCCTTGAAAAATTATTAATGAATAAACCCAAAACAACCAACTCACTCATTGTACCAAATGAGAATGGGATACCACCTTCAAAAGCATTCCTAGATAAGTTGATGTATGAAATATA